GCGAGTTGCTTTGTCATAAAATGAGCTTGTGACCCTTCATCAAGTAATGTACAGTAAGCAGCAAAACTGAATCAATTTAAAAAAATTTCAGTAAATGTATTATTTATTCTCATATAAAACGTCGAAAAATGAAAATTAGCAATATTGATATGTTGCTTATTCTTGTAGCAAATTCAAATTAATCTTCAACATTGAAAATATGTTCTTCTTCAGTTGCAATAAATAGAATCAGTTTCGCACCACGATCTTATGTACTAGAATTTTCAATTTTTTACCTACCTTAATATTTTGTCCATAAGCCATTTGACTTTTTAACAGCATTAATACGTTTTGGTATACTTTATACTAATCTTAAATAGTAGTCTTGCGGAATTTGTTTCCATTGTTTCTGAACTCGTACGTCTTGACCTGTTAACGCTTTTGGTCGTCCTCCTAGTGCGGGTAACATATTCATAAAGTGTTTTTTGCGTATTCGAAACACTGTAGGTTGGCTCACTGCACATATTTCAGCTACTTTACCCGTTGATAAACCGTCTTTTAAAAGAAAAACGATTCTGTTTCACGTATAAAATGAAATTGGCTTCATTTCACCTTATTCCTAACCCAATATGTTCACAGAGCGAATAACAGTTGTAAACTGAGTGTGCTAGTATAAGGCGGCTTCTAATGTAAACAAACAACTATTGAACGTAAACATTTTGTCACGGAATACTCATTGTACGGAAAATACATTATACGAATTCGTCGAAGAAGTATACACTTTGAGCATTGAAAAATCGTTTGTCATTCCCAGAACAGTAAGCTAACAATTGGAAATGTTGGTTTTTATTATTATATGTTTTGTTCAACAATAAATAATATATTCTCTGAAAATTTGTACGGTTGATTCAGTTTTGCTCTTTATTGTATTTATGTTGTCAGATTTGTCGACTATTTTTATCTGCGCTGTGCCAAGTAAAACTTCTGAGTCAAAACGTACTGTTAATGCGGTTTTGCAACTGGTTGATTTGCTATTCTCTGAATTGTTACTACTTGTTTCCGAAGTGTTTAAAGTTGAGCTTCTATCGTTTGGAAAATGCAGCAGGGTATTGTACCTTTTATTGCATTTCCGACACCCCTCTAACCGATACTGGATTATGCTGTAATTCGCCTTTAAACAATTGGTGCACAGTCTTGCTTTCCTTACTATCTGTGCGATCTGAGGGAGATAAACTCAAAAATCAAGCACACTGATAAATTTCGTGCGACTGTTTGCAAATGGGACACAAAGGTTGTCTTTCGGTCGTGATAAGTGTGCTACCTCGTATGGAGTTCCTAGCCTTGTTGGGCGTATCTAAATTATTTGTTCTCACCGAATTACAAATCCCTAGCTCTGAGCTTGTTTGTTCAAGAATGCTATGTTCGAAACTAGGCATCTCGTCATTTTCTAATGTACGCTACCTAGTTCTACGAGAATTTCTATCTAATATTTTTGTTAAGATATACACTAGAAATGTATCCCAATATTGTACTGACTGATATAATAGTTTGAGCGTGTCCACGTGCATTTTTGCCTTCTCTGCAAGACATTTCACATTGCTAGTAAAATCGCGAGTGATTTCTGGCAGGTCAAGAAGCAGCTTTAAATGTGCGTGTATACATTGGCGTGGTCTATCGCAATGCTGTTTTAATATATCCCACACGACCAAATAATTCTGCTTCGAAGCATTGAGGGAAGCGATCACTGAAGCGACCTCTCCATGAAGGGAACCCTTTAATAAATGAAATTTTTGAACTGCAGGTATTTCTTCATTGTCATGCACTAGTAATTTAAATGTATCATGAAACATGTACCATTCAATTGGATTTCCATCACACGGAGGTATTGATTTGGTTTGTCGTATCATTACCGTGTTCGGAGACTCTAAACTTCTAGTCGCGGATACTGCAGGTGTTGATGCTTCTAATGTTTTAATACGATGGTTGAGTGTGCTTTTTAAGTTGCAATAGTTGTTACTACTTAAAATTGAATCGTTTGTCACTGTAGTCACTGCCCACTTCCTCTGCTTCAATTTCTAGTTGTATAGAATTATATGCTTGATGTAACTCCTTTAATTTGTATAAACGTAAAGTTAAATCGAAACTGTCTAAATCTGTATGGCTACCTATGTACAAAATCAGACGTGTGATTTGACCTTTAATGATCTTTCGTTGATTGATTAAATGCGTGCTGGGCACGGAGATTTGTTCGTTCGGCATGATAATTGAAATAAAAGAGAATGTGAGAAGAAGATGTAAAGGGAAGATGATTCAGTGTACTTACGGAAGCGATGACAACTGGACTGTTGTAGAATATGTCGATGCTGCACTGGTTGCCACGGCTCTGCCGGCTGCTGTGTCCGTCCAGATGCTGTGTCCGATAGGCCTCGTCGTAGAACACCTCCTTAACTTGGTAGATTCCTTTCACTCTGATATCACTCTATGTCAGTAGAAATGATATGATGTGTATGTGATCCAGTAATTCGGCTCGAAGGACCAAAAAATGTTCGTGAACGCTGTTCAGGCAATGGTAGTGGACGTTGCGTAACACTTTCATACGCCGAATTAACCTTGTATGAATTGGTTAGGATGAAGAAAGGATTCTTCCTTTTCTCAGTTGAAAGTGAACTGTATTTTTGTTCGTTGGTAAAGAATGAAGGGATTGTGTATGTGTTTACAAATTCGATGTGTGTGTTTGTGTAGTGAGTACATTCTGAACCCTTTGTGCGCGCGGCGGTTTTGAGTAAACCGTACCGTGGGGCCGAGCCACTGCCGCGATAGTCATTTAAAACTACCAGCGCACATTTCTGCTTAAACGCGATTTTCGTTCATAGCGCTTCAAGATGTCAAATTATAGACATATGTAGATATGTACATGCACAGATTCTCCAGAAGATAAATAAGATATTTATTTGCTTACAAACATTATTTTTTAGAAATCGAAATTATAAATATTTTGTCATATTTATTAACAAAACCAAATCAATGTCTAACTAAAAGTTTAATCGATAATTTTTTTGTGTGTGATATCGTTCAAAACATCGATGAATGCAAAGACCTACAGTGACGGTCATATACTTACGTACAGTTCCTATTTAAACTTTTAATGTTTATTTATTTCCTTAAAGGGTCTATAGCGCCTGTTTACATATTATTTCTAAGAAGTATCTATTCTAATATATATAACAGCTTGAGGGTTTTCCTTGATTCTTCGAAACGAAGAAGTTTGTAAATATTTTGTTTCAACATGTTAGTTTCATAGCGGACAACTACTTACATACACAGTACAGTACTCACATTTTTATAGTTTTTAATACTTGTATTATAATGTTTTTACAATATTTTAATATCTGGTTGGTATACCCTTATTTTTAATAAATTTTGCACATATCCGCGGCATCGATTCGATAAGGCGAACACATCGATCAACTGGTATTGACTCCCACGCTCCTTCTGTTGTGGAGTATAATTCTTCAATATTTCTTGGTCTTTTTCTTTTTACATATTTGTTCGTATCAATCCATAGCATTTCTATTGGGTTTAAACCAGTCATTGTGCCGGACATTTCATTACATCAATGTTACTGTCATTTAAAAATATCTTAACGACTCCTGCCGTGTGCTTCGGATCGTTATCTACTTGGTAGATCCAGTTTTCCGGCATACATTCTTCAGCGAACAGAAGTTGTACATTTTTTACAATATTTAAATAAACAAATCTGTCCATGATCCCTATTATTCGATGTATCGGACCTGTACCATTCATGGTCATAGAGCCCCAAAAGAGGACTGATCCACCACCGCCTTTCACAGTCGGTTTTGTACAATTTTTTTTATATTCTTCTTCTTTTCGACGTTTTACGCATACTTTTCTGTCAGATCCGAAACGATTGAACTCAGATTCGTCAGCAAAAATTACTGTCGACCATTGTTGCATTGTCCCATTAATATGTTCTTTCGCGAAAGTAATCCTGGCTCGACGATTATTTTCTGATATGAAGGGTTTCTTTCTCGCAACGCGTCCATTTAATTGAAATTCGTTTAATCTGCGTCATACAGTCCTTACACTAATGCCTACTTCCAAATTTACTGATATTTTATTGTAAATATCAACCGCTGTTTTAAATTGGTCAGCTTCAGACAGCCGATGTATCTTGCGATAGGTCCTTGCATCAGTTTTTCGGGGTCTTGCTTTACGGGGAAGGTTGTCTGTTGTTCCATTTCGTTTAATAAATTTTATAGCTTCATGAGAAGCCATCACAGATATTTCAAATTCGGCTGCGATTCTTCGATATGACATTCCTTTCTTACGAAATTCCTGCACTCGACGCCGTTGTTCCGGAGTGATGTTCTTACGTTTACTCATTACCGCACTATTGTAACATATCTAACTACTCACACTGTTCAACAAATACTATGAAGTATTGTTTACATCGCAAGTACTTTTGACTTTTGACGCATATAATCGCAGTGTACGTAAGTAGTTGTCCGCTATGAAACTAATACATTAAAAGAAAGTATTTACCAACTTCTCCGTTTCCGGGGATCAAAAAAAACCCTCATGCTGTTATATATATTAGGATAGATACTTCTTAGAAATAATATGTAAACAGTCGCTATGGAGGCTTTAACCCTGTTAGTGCTAGCGGGCCGATTGATCGGCTCTCGGTCCTTATGCGAAAACTGCCACGGGCCGATGCGTTGTGGCGGGCTTACGTGCTGAGGGGCTTTTTCTCAGCCTCGTTCGAAGGGCATCGCTTGTTTACATTATTGCTCTGAATGTCAAGTGGCATTCGCTTACACTTAGTCCTTATCTCCGATGTCAATAGTATAAACCACACCATGCTTCGGTTCATTTGGTTTTTCTTCAGTCTTTCTCTGGCGTCAGTTAGTGAAAGTCGAAGCGTTTTCCTGATTTCTTTTATTCCAATATTTGGTTTTAGTCAATTCATATATTATTTTGATATAATACCTCGGTCAATAATGGCAGAGCAAGTTCAAAAAGATAGTGCAGAAAGTTTGAGAATGAGAGAATCATCGAATAGTGATGACTCGCTCATCCACCCTGTTGGACTTACTTCATCAAGAAGACGAAGAATATTGTCATCCGAAAGTGAATTGGGAGAAAATTCGGGTACAGCAATAGCAGGTTGGGAAGAAGTGTTCCAGGATACTGATAATCCACCAGAAGCCCACTACAAATTTAATGAAATACCAGGTCCAAACCACACACTTCCTCGTGCTGCAGCGCCCATTGCTTATTTTTATTTATTTTTTACCAATATTCTGCTGGAAACAATTGTTGGGATCCGGGTGAATGACGTGAAGTCCGATTCGTTAATAATAATTATATTTTGGCGTTTCAACGTATACTCCGGATATAACACATCGAACGACGCGGAAACGGACAATTTCGGACAGACCGCGACGCAACAGGGTTGAAAGAATAACAATCTACTATTCTAGAGATATCAATTTTTATATACTAAGCTTTTCGCTAAGGAGGGGATATCGATGACCCTTGGTACCTGATGACTCGTTGTAGATGACTAGTCCTAGATGAGACATTTGTGTATTTTATCTAGGATTTTAGACTTGTGAAAAACAAGGCTGACTAAGATATTTTGAACGCAGCGGTTCTAGTACACTTATCTATGGTGCGTCATTAGGTTGGTCATCCACACAATAGTAAATGAAACGAACGCCTATGCAGATAATTTTTTGTCACGGAGAAATCTACACCCGAATTCCACGAAAGTGGAAGGATATTATGATATCTGAACTCAAAAGATTCATCGCCTGCGTAATAAATATGGGTCTAGAAAAACGGCCAACCATTTCGTCGCATTGGTCTACTAATAACTCGCAGTATAATCCGTGATTCCTCCGAATGTTTTCAAGAAACCGCTTCCAGTTGATTCTGAAATTTCTTCATCTGGCCGATACAAAGGATCTTTCTCGATCCGGACAACCTGGATACGACCCATGTGCTAAACTCCATTCACCATGCCCCTCATTGACCATGCCAACACATTATTCAGACAGATCTACACTCCCCACTAGCAGATGAGCATTGACGAGAGCTTAATGGGAACCAAAAACCACACACAACTGTTGCAGTACCTTCCTAACAAACACCATCACTGGTGGAGAATAAAACTGTGGATGTTATGCAACTCTGTTTCAAACTATTGTTTGGCTTTTTACATCTACCGAGGAGCACAAAGTGCTGCAGACAGATTCGAAATCCAAGAGAATGGCTTGGCGCATACAGTAGTCATGAAATTATTGACAATGGGAAATTATTTCTCAAGAAGTTACCACATTTTTGACGACAACTTCTTCGCATCAGTATCTCTGGCGAAGACTTTATACGGTCTGGGCACTTACATTACTGGAACGATTCGCAGAAACCGAAAATTTATATCCGAACCGCTTACTGAAAAATTTGCTATAGGCGTAACGAAATTTTTTAGACAGGGCCCTTTCCTCACTATTTGTTACAGGGAAAAGAAGTCCCAACGTTTTTCAGTTATTTTATTATCTTCCAAATCCAAAGCGCAAAGTACCACGCATTTCCGCACACGTAGAGGCCAAACCGAGGAAACAGTCAAACCATTCGCTATAGAATGTTATAATAATTACATGGGCGGAATCGACACATCCGATATGATGTTATATACTTATCTGGATGAAAGGCAGACAGTAAAATACTGGAAAAAAGTATGCTTCAATGTGTTTTCGAGAATGATGCTCAACAGTTACATCATTTACAAAGAAAGTCTCCCCTCTGAGGAAAAGCCTATTACTCGTTTCCGTTTTATGATTAGTATTGTGGAAACTCTTGCAAAGGAATGGGAAAGTGCGAAGAAAAACAGCGGTGCGGAATCCAACAAACTGGAAAAATTACCAGGAGAAAAGGAGAAAGACTGTTGCGTGTGCAGTACGAGGAGTAAAGATGACGGCGGAAAGCGAAGAAGAATCCAAACGATATGTTCAATTTGCAAGAAAGGTCTGCATGGTGCATGCTTTCCACAACATAGATGTAATTCCTAAAATATTATGTTGCTTGTTAACACATTGAGCGCCGGCGACCTCAGAGCCGTTTACAGCCTGAGCGCCACACCGTCTCGGCCGTTTAAAGCCCGAACGCCGGCCTCTTTCGCTTGTCTCTGATCAATGAGTAGCCAGAAAAAATATTCAAAACATTATACATTTTCGTAAAATAGTACATTTTAATTGCATATTCGTCATATACAATTTAACGGAAATGAAAAATAGAAATAAAATTGAAATTTTTAATTTATAATTACAAAAAAAATACAGTTTTTTATTTTATGGTAGATTATTACATATATATAACATAAACAGAAAACAAAAATATTAATATTTACAGCAAGTATGGTATTTCTCGAAACATTGTCCAAGATATAAGGGTACTAAGCATTCAGCACACATAAAACTACTCTGGCTTCTTTTTTTAGCAGCGAACTTTACATGGACGTCGTACAAATCGATTTGTTTTTCCTGATCCAACAATTCTGGTAACTTTATGTTTCTTCTGTGGCGGCCGAAAAGCTGCCTTACGCCACTGGATTTCCTCGCTATTCTTTTACCGAGCGGAGGGTGGCAACGGCGCTCCAGATCCGTCTCTCGTCGGCGATGGCGTTCGTCCTCACGATCCGTGGAGCGGAGCGACGAGGGACGAGATTACCAGGGAAAATGCTGGTACCACTGGCGGTTCGGCACGAACGCGCGGCGATGCGAGCTGCCCTGCAACTGGTCGACCC